AACATTTAGGGCCACACCAGTATCCTGAGAATACAACCCTTAGAAAACAGACAGACAGCAATGTGAATGAAGGAGGCACATATGACTAATTTAAACCCTATGCGAGCTTCAAATGGCTATTTTAAAATAATGGGCCAGATGAAAAGGAACTTTTGGGATAAACAAAGTTAAGCTGGTTCCCTAGGAAATACCTGGGCGGAGGGAATGCAAGTTCCCCACCTCCAGACCCAATCTTTGAAACTCCCCCCTCAGGAGGGGACCTGCTCATTACCTCTTACATCAAGACAAGATTAGAGGCCCAACTGTATAAATGAAGGACTCACAGGTCTGAACCAATGCGGTTACGATCCCTGTAATCATATAAAAACCCCTTGGTGGGGTTTGTTCACTGGCCAGAGCCCTAGTTGGAGTTGGGGTGATCTCTGATTGGCTTATTAGCAAGCACATAGGTTCTGTTATTGCTTTGAATAAGGATAAAGGTACTTGCTGAGAAAGAGTTGGGCAGTTCCTTAACTGTGGGCAATGACACTGTTTGCAGCCTCTGAGGAAAGGCAACGCAGGCCTGCTGAAGCAATCTGATTTGCCATTCCCAGTGTAGGCAGGGAACCGTGCAGCCTGCAAACAGCCCAATCAGGAGGGGGAGAGATGTATGTGTCTCCACCCAAGAAAAGTGATGGCAGGGAAGCCAGAAGCCTAAGAGTGGGTTCAGCCCTTGCTGGCCCATAGAGGAGGAATACGAGTGTAGTTGCCCTGAACTGTGACAATTACTACATTACCCTTAATCCCCTATTCCTGGGTAACCAAGCACTAGAGGGGGGCTCCTGGCTTTTCCTGTGGTTGTTCATGAGCATTTGGAGCCCCACCAGTACCTTGAGAATACATCACTTTGAAGAAAAACAGGCAGAAAGACAGAAATGTGAATGAAGCTCTAGTACACCAAGAATTTGTGTTGGAACAATCTACCTGGGAGGCAACGAAAGCCTAAGGTGAAGGACCCTCAAAGGGGCAACCCCAAAGGGCACCCTAAATACATCACAACCTTTCCATCAAAGCTACTACAGAACCCCAAGGTGCAATCAGCGCAGGGCAGGTGCATGCAGCACACCTGCTTCCCCACCACCCTCCTACCTGCCACAGTACAGAACCAGAGACCGAGGCACTCTCTTACCTTGGAGCACGTGTCCCTGCTGCTCAGTGTCTCCTCGGGATCCAGGGGACACAGAACAAGCCAGCAGCATCTACCTCCTGCTGGGGGACACCATTTTGGAATGATGGGAGCATAGGCCTGGCCAGTGGTGCAGATTTATAGCCTCACACAGCACCACATGGTGGCAGGAATGCAATACTACACCCTCCCACTGCCATGGGCAGAAAGTTTCAAATACAGGCTGATGGGTGTTGAATTTCTCTATTTCTGCCTTGTTTTCTTGCCAAGTATCTCCATGGGTGGCTGGTGTTAGTATCCTCTGGCTCCCTGCTAGGCAGTGGGGGCTAAAGCACACACACAAAGCTATTAAAACAAGTGAAAGTGGAGGAAACGGACAGGCTGTATCCATAAGGAAGTGGAACCAGGAGCCCACAAAGTGGGTCTCGGGACCTAAGGAAGGCAGTAGAAGTAGCTAAGCAAAAACTGGGTGTCTCGCAAGGCGTTATTACCTGAGCTGGCAAAAGGGGTGCAGGGCGGGGGGGCATGGTTTACTCAATCCACTTTAACATGGCACTTCAATAAAAACATACCTTTAAAATGTCACAAGTAGCAATCTGAGCTTTTTTCAAGCAGCAACCATCTGATCTGTAGCAGGAGTGTTTTTTAGGTCTTTGGTGCAGGGAGTCTGCATTGTGTCAGAATTGCCATGGCCTGTGCTTCTTAGGATAGCCACAGCATGGTAATAATATAATTAATTCCTAATACCTGTCATGTTCACCTTATGTCCCATGCAGACTTCCATGTGTGCCCTCCTGGCTGCAGACCCCCTCAGGCCTGTATTGGAGTGTTGATGCCATGCATGCCTTAGAACAGGCCTGCACAACAAGGAACGCGGGAGGT